AATTGCTTATTCAGGTTCATTCAGGATTTATATTTCTTAAGAATTGGAATTGTTATTGGAATTATATATATGAATTAAATGTGGTTTTAAAATTTTGTACGGCAACTTTTTTTCACCCCCTTGCATTTTTTAATACTGTGGTCTATTTTAGGTTGTATTTTAACGGATTGTTTTTATAATGCAGTATGTTTTAAATTATGTTTTAATGGATTGTTGTAAACTGCTCAGAGAGGTTCAGGTATTGGGCCCTATAGAAGATAGATAGATGGATGAATGGATGGACAGATAGATATATAAAATAATTTGTTAAACTAACAACTAACAATGCTTTTTCCCATACACACTACTCTCCCATGCTTACCATTGCTTCTGTATGCTTGATATATCAGATACATCAAGGCAACCAGTAAACAATCAAACACAAAACTGTTTGCCATCCTGATTGTTTAAATACTGAAGGTATATGCAATTTTGCATTCCACACTCATTTAAATCACAATTTCATGACTATAGGAATAATATGGTGCTCTCCTATAAGAACATAAGCGCAACACTGGATCAGACCAAGGCAGGAAAGCTGGTGATCCTTCTGTTAGTGGGACTCATTGCACTACATTATTTTGAGCTTTATAGGAGCATCATTTGCACTTATTTACATTGAACTGCATTTGCCATATTGATGCTCCTAGTCTGGAGAGATCCTTTTGGAGCTCCTCTCAATTCCCTTTAGTTTTAGAGTAAAACTAATGAAACGTAAGGAGCATAATGAAAATGCATGACCAGCAGGCTGAGTATGGACTATAGCAACAGCAGCTACTGCAACCGTAATAATAGATGCTGCAATGACTGGCATCAACATCACAGGATTCTGATGCCCATGATGGCCCAGGTTCTGACCCGGAGTCTGTTTCCATGGCCTTTATCAGCTCCCACTCTTTGCAGTGCCAAAAGACTGTGAGACCTTGGACTTTGGCCCAAAGGTTCAGCCTTAGCTTTACCATTGACACTCTTAATTGACCTGATTCATACACAAGTTGTAAAACTCTGTGAGTTAATTTTTCAAAGGAACAGGGGCTGTGCTGGCTGCCATTTTTAAAATGCAAGTCATGGTTGGAGTACACCCTGGCTTGTTATCACACGTGAATCTGCCAAAAGTGTATTGTTAAGCTGGTTAACAAAACATTCAAAAACCGTGGCCTGTTTCAAGGTTATAGGTGGTTTGTTAACCACCCCAGCAACCCAAGTTGGCTGGTTTGTACATGACCACAAGCTATGTTGTGTTCATTCGATGACTTGCATTTTAGAGATGGTGGCTAGCACAATAATAACTCTCATGGGGGATTAACCCATAATGCCTAAGATGCAACAACAAACCCTGAGGAGAAATTGGGCCCTGGTGGCTTGTTCTTATGTGCAAACAAGTCCATTTTGCCTCACCTAGCAAAGGGGCAGTTGTGGCAGGGATGAACTACATTTCAAGAGGTAAAGGACATAGGACGGAAGCCCTGGAGATTTCATGTGTGCACACAGGGGTCCAGAGAATAATGATAAGTCAAGTATCCATTGTTGCTAGTAATTCCACATGCCCTGGAGTCCCAGTAACTGCATTTGACACAATTCATACAAGAGCTACCACTTTACACAGACATAGATTTCAATGGCAGAAAGTTAAGGTAATGTTTCATTCCGTTCAATGCTTTCAAAGGGAGAGAGTAATTATGTTCATTACAACAAGTTATTCTGTGAGGTTTTAGGAGATAAATGGGGAGAAAAATGCTTTGTATGGAAGCATTTAGATTAGAAATATATTTAAGGTTTTGAGATTTATGACCTTCAAAAAGGAATTTATATGTTCTCATGTTTCTATAGAAATGCTTTTGTAATTTGTGGTTCTTAGGAACAAACAAAAACAGTGGTACAGGTAGAAATGATGAATAAAAACCAATATAAACCCATATATTTCCTTTTTAGAAAAATGGTAAGGCTGATGGCCTGTACAGATTACATTAAATATAAAATTTTCCCATATACTAGATGTAAGAATGCAATCAGCTATCAATAAGATACTTATGTGTTGTTGGAGAGTGGAAAATGTCCACACACATGCACGCACACACACACACAGAGGTTCTTGTTGCTTTGTATTTCATTTTTACCACATGCTGTCCTAGGTGTTGTAATTTCATTTCGTATATTATTCTTCCTTTTTTTTAAAGCCCCATTTACCATGCTTTTCCCAGCATTTTTCAGCAGTGAAAAAATGACCCCATTATGAAAACCTTTGAGTGAATTTTACAAAAATGTGATGCGAATTCTTAAGCCACTAGAATGTTTTTTAATGAAACAATTGAATCCTCTCAGCTATGCTTCTCCATTTGTGCAAGTCTATTGCAACAATCACATTTTCTTCACAGTTAGGGCTCAGGTTGTTCTACAGATTTGACAAGGGCTTTGGGAAGCCTTTATTTTCACTCTCCCTCTCCACCATGAAATAGTATGCCTTAAAAACCAAAAAAAATTCTGAGTCCGAGAGGCTCATCCAGCCATAAATGTAATGGCAAATGAGAAATGGGATATATTTTCATGTCTGTCCTCCTCCTCCTTTGTCCCATCATCAGATCCCTCTGTCTATTGAGCAACCATTCCTTAGGACTCTTCTCTAATTCTAATATAACCTATCATATACTAGTCTACTTTTTCAGATGCATGGATTGTTATACAAAGTTTCAGATTTATATACAGTCACTGCTTGCAAGACACCCACAGCCCACTCTCCTCACTAAGTCTAATTGCCATTGTTCCCAGCTGTATTTGTTCTTCAACCTCTCCCTCATAATTGCTACCACTGGCTAGCAAAAGAGAGAGGCCCAGGAAGCAAGAGGGCAGTTATATGGAGAAGAAGGAGAGGATAGTTGCAATTGTGAAGAGGAACAGCAGAGAATTCTTGGTGGCTGCTCTGTTCTGGGATAAAGGACCTTTACAGGTGCCCAACATTGCTACCTGGGATGCTGCCTTGTTTATAGTGCATCTTGGATGGTAGGTGGGGGGTGGGTTGTGAAAAGTAAGGTTAGAGGGGAAATTAAACACCGTGCCCACAGTAAAAGTCGCATTATGAACAGCATGATTCTGAGGATTATAACACAAACTGCGTGGTACTAGGTAAGGCAAAGCACATGTATTGTGATAAAACTCATTCATCCTGAATCAAGCTTGAGACAATAGAATTGCACCTACTGATGAATTCCAGCTAAGCAGGCTGACAATCTAATATCCCTTTGCAAATAACGATCAATAATAATGGGCAGGTTCTGACAACATGGCATGATAACTCCTACTGTGGCATAAGCCATACAGTGGGGGTGAATTGCCTCAGGCCCCAAACAATCTTGGGTTCCTGGCTCCTTCCTCTCCTCCCCTCTTGGTTCTTCTGGGGATATCATAGCAGCATGAGTGCTCCTCCCCATGACCATGAACCAACTGTGGCTTGCAGCAGGTTTTCTTTCTTTTCTTTTTTTTCTCCCTCCTTTAAATTTTGCAGATTGTAAAAACTCCTCATCAAGCTATAAGTAGCCCATTTAAGGAGCTCTGGTGGCACCTTGCAGGGGCTGCCTGTTGCTGCCCAGTCTTTATTTATTTAAATAATAAAAATGACCCCATAATTTGCAAAAATAGAAGGGATTAAAATTATTTTCCAAGCCACAAAAGTATGGGTAGATAGACTTCACCTGTATATTTTCCAGCCCCCAAAATAAGCTTTTAACTTATTCTAAATCCCAACTTAAAAACTGAGCTCCTATCTTGACAACTGTCAAAGTAGTTACTTCTGAAAATTGAAAGTGTTTGCATTCAATGTATCCTTGAGATAATAGAATCTCAGGAAAAAATACAAAGCTGAACTCTTTGGAGAGTTCAAAGTTCTTCATGAAAACTCCACAGGATTGAAGTGATGTTTAAGGGACCACCCTGATTTCTCAAACAAATATCAGTCAGAAGCGAAGCGAAGCGAAGCAAAGCAAAGCAACGCAAAGCAACGCAAAGCAACGCAAAGCAACGCAAAGCAAAGCAAAGCAAAGCAAAGCAAAGCAAAGCAAAGCAAAGCATTTCTCCCACTGATCTCTTGATAGCATAATTTCTGTTAAGTCTGTTGGTTCAGTCATGTTGCCAAGAGCTTTTCAGTGAAGTGTTTCGAGTACTCAAGGGCTTATTTTCTTAAATCTCATTAGCCCCTTGGACCCCACCCATAACTGAAGAGTGTGGTTTGATGCTAAGAGTAGTCAGCAAAAGCACTGGTGCAGATTAATGCTATCACTGAATTGTATACATGGTTCCAAATACAGGTGCACCAAGTCCATCATATTCAGATGCAATACAGGCTAGACCCTGTTTCTGCAGGAATACCTCTGTAGCCTTAAATGTAAAATTGGGGCTGTGTACAGATGTAGATAGTGGCTTTAACATTTGGTCCAAGTTCTGGACACCAATTGCTTTCCCAAAAGAACTAAGCAAGTGACCCCAAAAGAGAATTTTTAAGGTCCTAGATGAGAGTTGAACTACAATCATTTCTCTGTCGGTTCTCCTGATCTAAGGTAATTGTAGGCAAAGTCCAGGAAGACTCAGAGTCTCTGGGGAGTTTCCCAACCTCTGGCTAACTTTTAACCTATTCAGCCCTAAATATGGAATCATCTTTCTTAGGATTAATTGAATGATATACATTTTCCTATTTTATTTCTCCTTTGCTGTTTTATAATTTACCTGTTGTTGTACTGTGCTTATTGTTGATTTAGTAACAGTTTTACAGTAGGTTTGTTATTACTGTTTTACTATATTGCTATAATTCTTGTTGATAGCAAGAATTATTTCAGGAACTTTACACAGAAAGGCAGGGTAGACATTAGTGATGCTTAAAACTGAACTGAACCAAACCTAACTGAACCTGTGTATCTTGTGGAATATTTCTAAAAGAAAGAATTGGAGATACCAAATGAAAAGGAACTTTTTACCTGACAGGGGCACCCCGAGATTGTGCAGGCTTCAGCATGACTGTGATGGTGGTCTCTGTTTCATTCAGAGGGGAGTCTGTATCATATTCAGGCATTGATGGAGCTAGGGAGCAACAGAGAGATCCATGCATTAGCTCTCCTCCCTGGAACATCATGAGGTCTGAAGCTAGTCGCCGTACCTCAACAAAGCAGCTGAAACTCAAATGAGTCACCAGAACACTTTACTTTGGATGATGGTGGAGTTTGGGTTGCTATTTTAAAACAATTAGCTAGACCTAATTCAAATGTTCCTTGCCTAGCTGTTCATATTTCAGGATCCAAGAGATATAATGTTTGCATGGTATATTCTAATTACTTTCCTATGTACTGTTTAAGAGATATAGAAGAAAGGTTTTTTATTCCACTAAGTCTGTGATTTTTGTGTTTTGACTTGCACTGATCTCTTGACATCAGCCAGCCAGAGATGCCTGCAGGATCCCACAAGCAGTATAAGACTACAACAGGACCCGCCTGCCCAATTCTCCAATAACCAGAATACTGAGGCATACTACTTCTGCTATTGGGGCCAGCATACAGCTAGCAGGACTAGTAGCCACTGATAGACTTATCTTCCATGAATTTGTCTAATACCCTTTTAAAGCCATCCAATGTGCTGGCCATTTCTACATTTTGTGGAAGTGAATTCCAGGACGCATCCAAGTGGAGCAAAGCTCAGGGAACCAAGATTCAAGGTGGATGCCAGGAAGTAATTCCTGATGGTTAGGACCCATAGGGCATGGAATGGGCTTCCACAGAGGTGGTTGAAGCCCCACGGGTGAGGAAGTTCAAGAATAGGCTGGGCATGCACATGGTAGGCCCAGGGGGTCAGACTATATGGCCCAGGAGACCCCTTCTGACTCGCTCTGTTTCTATGTTTCTACGATTATCTATTCAATCTGTGAAGTACTTCCTTCTATTTATTTTGGAAATTCTCACATCAAACCCCAAAGCCACATGTTGAATTTGGGAGACTTGAAAAACAAACAAACAGAGCTGCAAATAAGCGACCACATAGGTCATGGTTGCTAGCTTACAGAGGACTTTGAGGTGGAGAAAATTCCTCTCAGACTTTTTATAGGGTTACATAGTGATATATACTGTAAATGTTTACTAGGGCTAAAGCAATGGCCTTAAAAGAGAATGCTCAATTTTTAAAAAAAAATCAGATGTATACTCAGATGACCAATGTTTACAAGTGTTCTAACAGGTGAGCCTGACAGGTGTGGTTGTCCCGTACTGTTTGGGATCCAAGCACAAGCTTCTTTCTATTCACATGGCTACTCCAATGGTATTTAGTATACCAACCAAGGGATGCCATGGGAACCAGAGTTTCCTGCATGATACTAAACACATCATGACTCTTGTTACCAGAAGGTTTACCGTAAGTGGGAGTAATTAGCATAAATGCCAAACAGAGAATCAGAATTCATAGTCTTGAAAAAACTGTCCTAAACAGCAATATTTCCAAAACAACCGCATGGACCAAAACTAATTTTAATGCTCTTTTTATACTCAAGAAAAATAAATTCCCAAATGTTGTTCACAAAATTTATCGAGCAGAAAATGAAGGGGCACAGGGAGTAGGCTGTGCATGCTTGATTTTATATGGCAGTCACTAATCATTCAGAGTACCCAATGTCTTGGGTAGTGGTAGTACGATAGCACCTCTCTGGGTGAATTGGAAGTGATTTTCATCAAACAGCCTAATTTCATCATAAATCTAGCATACTTTCACTGTGAGGTGCCTCAGCAGGTAAAAAAAAAACCCCTCAGTGGTTGAATATATGCTTTGCATCTTTCAGGATCAATCTCTAGCTTATGTTAAATGAATCCAGGAAGCAATGTTTGAATGGCAAAAAGTGCTATAGTTGCTAACTTTTCTTTAAAATTCTAGACCAAAAGTCTAAGTATTTTAAATTCGGGTTGCAGACCTGTATAATCCAATTCCAGATAGTCCCCCTTTTCCCCACCTCCAAGCCTATTCCATGCCTGTTTCATATGGACATATGGTATGACACGGTGAAGGGGAATCTGCAAAGATTTTTTTTTGCATTTTTATATACATCGTTCAATTAATGCTTATTTGTATGCATTTTGAAATGTACGGATCATTGCTTACATATGTTTTATATGCACACAGACTTTTTTACCCTGTTCTGCAGAAAGCATTGCAAATTCTTAATTATGTGGATTTCTGAACAGAAAGTGTACATGATCAGATGTCTTCACCTGTTTCCAGGTGGTCTAGGTGGGAGAATTTTACACAGAAAAAGCCAGTGGAGTAGATTCCTCAGAGAGTCCTAACTTAAGTTTGGTCCATTCAGATAAAAAGAGAAACCAGGTTATCTCTTTTTACACTGAAGTGTACTACCTGCAATTTTAGTTGCAATCCGTGTAGTGATGGGAGGTCCAAAACCTTTAACTGTGCTGGCTTTGATAGTGAAAGAGTAGGTTGTCCCTGGATATAGCCCTACAAAGAGATGGTGAGTTTCATTCCTGAGTTTGAAGACTTTTCCTCTCTGGTTGGATAGGTCAGCAGTGGGATCAAGGGAACCAACAGCCTTGTATGTAATCTGAAATAAAAAAAAGAGAAAGTCAACATTCCTGTGCAATTTATAATGTGTTATTTTCACTTCCCCATAAATATTATATAAAAGTATTTGTTGGTTGACCACAATGATGGGCAATAACACTTAAAATATAAAGTAGTATATAAACCTAGAATTGAATTAGTATTCAAACTAGAAAAATAATGGCATTCTGCATTTAATTATTAGGAGTTTCTCTCCATATGTTATATACCAGTTTTCACACTTAAGATATAATGATGATTATGGATGTGAAACATGTTTGGCTGAAGTTTGAAGTCTCAGCCAAAGTGAGCCCATTGGACTGCTCCCAGTATTTCCCAGGAAATCAACTGAAATTGCCCCTCACTAGACTTCATTCACAATTCCACTTTGAGAAAGAAGGTATATCTCCAAAACAGCATCTTTTTGCTTGTTTTCTGGAAATATTGAGGGAGGTGGGAGGGAAAGAATAGAGCTGAATGACTGATACAACCACCTTCAAATTATAGGGCAGGTTTTACAAGAGTTTACCAATCACTGTGCTTGGGAGGAAGAGCAATGGTGGGACTATAAAATGGCCACTCTTCCAATGCCACCTAGCTTCACTAGGAGAAAATAAGTCTTAGATTTCAATCATTATAGCTCCCTAGCCTCTGTACCTGTCCTTCTGAAACTCAGCTACTCTTCCTCTTGGAGACACCGTTATAATATAGTTCAGTTTCATATATAATGCTCCTAGTAACAATAGGGGCAGAGAAAAGATAATCATACCCCTCCATCCATCCAATTTGAGGACTCCCTTTCCATGGAGACTCCCCTTCCCTTTCCATTGCTCCTATCCTGAATTTCTTACTCTTTCTGTACTTACAGCCATCTCTGAGTTGTCTGTAATTTTCAGAAGAATGGTTCACCACAAGCATAGTGGTATTAAATATCAAGACTTCTTTTGTACAAAACCTTTCTGCACCTATTAATCTGAAATGTGGACAACCCTTTTCCTAAGAATGTGCAACTTTCCTAAGTTCTGACAAAATATAAACAACATATAGGAGTGCATGGCACAAAAACCCTTGAGCCTGCCCCACCCCCACAAAATGTAAGGAGTAATTACCTCCTAAGGGGTTACTATGTCTACAAATTTAAGTTATGTCTGACAACATTCACAAATGTACAGGTATATTTTTTGGTTTCTCATCATAGTCAATGGGAGGCACAAAACATCAACTTTCAAATTCATGACTTGGGTGTCAAACCCATATCAAAGTAGATGGCTTGCAAATCAATCTGAGCAGAATTTGACCATTTTGAAGTGCCAAATTAGGGTCTGATTCAAATTCTGTATACAATGCACTCTTTGGTTGACCTATCCTGATGTCATTCATGGGAGATGGGGTAAACCTCATTTGGAAATAATGTGTG